AGTGAAAAATCATTCGCATAAGCGACATAGTCACACAGCTGGCATACCTGAGGAATCACACTCACACAGTCACACCATCGGCTCACGCACACACTCTCTTCATTGTCAGAGCTTTGACACACGTGCAAAAAATGGCGAAAATGTCAGCCATGGGGCATGGCTGGATGCTGGATGGCAGCTTTAACACCATTTTGCTGTCTGTTGTCGCCTGTAGCTCTTCGCTTGATATTGTTGTGGCCCATTGTTATTGCTGCTGTTGTGGGTTTGTCATGCTATTTTGGCCACATTGTTACCTACACACATGCCAGCTAAATCGGTACGCGCACCTGCCTGCCCTGCCAGCCTTGCCTGCCAGTCTGTCTGTCTGTCTGTTTCCTTCATTCAAACTCACATCAGCAGCGAGGTGTTAAGCCAGCAGCCGTGTGTGGGTGCAGCAATTGTATTAACCTTATCGCTACTTTGATTTATGCATGTAAATACAGGCAGTCAGTGCTGTCTGCTGCGGCTTGACTAATGAGTTTACCTAAAAAAGAAAACAAAGTAAATCTAAACTCAAATGTTTGCGAAATGCCAATCAAAACTTGATGGGACTAAGAAGATAATCTATATATATTTCTAAGCTTATTACAGCAGTTATATTTTAGACACATATTGTTATGCTATTAACGCTCCAGCTACTCCACTCAGCTGGTCAATGGGGCTTTCAACAATCGGACATTTAAGTAGGTCACACAATGCGAAAGTTCAATTACATTCATCGCCCTTGTATCAACTACTTAGACATCCGATTATTTCGACTATTAATACGTATATTAAAACAATATTTGATAGCTCTAAGCGCACAGAGTTCCGTTGACTTGGACTGCACTTTTTAAAGTAGTAAATCAAAAGGTCGATACGAACAATATACGACGACCTTTTAATGGTTACTACTTAAAGAAGCTGCAGTAATTACTAGAACACTACATAGAACACTATTCGAACTGGTTCACTTTGCTGACTGCACGGCACTGATGGAAACTGATGGAAAGGGCGTGCATTTTATAGTCAGATTGAGCCCGAATATTGCTTATCTGCGAGGCCTTAGATAGGGCTCCGGCACTGCCTTTGTTTCGCACCCCCTGCCGATGCTGCCGATGCTGCTGATTTATCTGCAAGGCAAAGTCGCCAATCGTCTGGTCAAATAGTGCCTAAATAAATGGGCAAACTGTTTACAAAAAGATACGAGAGACTGACACACGCCTGAGAGTATTTTTTGGCTTACATTTCTTATTATCAAATAGACAACTCGTGTCTAAGCAGCTGATTGTGATCCAATTCAGTGGAAACTTTTGAAAAAAAAAAAATTTTAAGGCGCGACTTTAATAATGTCTGATTAATGGCAAAGCCAAAAATGGAATTGGAAACTCTGGCTACTTTAAATATGCCCTGCATATAATCCCAGCAGCAATCAACGGGAATCCATGCCAGAAGCCCGGACCAATCTCAGGAAACTCACAAGAAAAAAAAAACACACACACATATCCGAGCCCAGACGACCCACTCTCGGTTTAATAAAACAAAATCCTGCGGCGATAATTTACAACACGATTGTGCTTGGCAAATTGCTTTGATTTAAGCGTGCCAACGTGCTAGGACTCCTCACACAGTCGCACACGGCGAGCACATTCCGCTCTCGAAAGAAGGGAATAAAAACAAGCAGTCAACATTGGACGAGAAGCAGCCAGTAGGAGCGCCAGAGACGAGCATTCGACTAGAGAATACCCAGGGATTAGGCGCCAACTGGGTTTCCACCCAGCAGCAGCCCAAAACCAATTTACAATTCAACAGCAATGAACTTTCTTTCTCTTCTCTTGATCCATTCATCCATTCTTGATGCCAGAGAATTTTACTTGATTTTTTATGGCATAATGGCATAGACACCGAGTTCAATTTTTGCTGCTTCAAGACTTATATTCTGAAGACTAAGTCCACACGAATACAAATACTCCCATGTGCTCTGCGAGTACCTGGTAACAGCAGCAGCCACAAGATGCTCCTCCTTCACACAGACACAGACACAGGCACAGGCACAGGCGCACACATCTTTACACTTGACTGGCAGGCGAAGGAGCGAAGAACGGAGCAAAGGCAAACCAATTCAACATCCGTTTGCCGCTAATTCACACGCACACACACACACACACACACATGTACAGGCGGCGGAGCACGAGCAGGCATCCTGGCAGTAAGGATATATGAAATACGCGCAAATAACGTGTTAGGAAAATTGTGTGAAAATTGTTATATATATTATATCCGCACATTGAAGCGCTTGATATGATTTCTTATGCTCCATTCACCGCTGCAAAAAGGTGTTGAGCAGTTCCTGCTTACGCTCACTTTGGAGCTCAAGTTCGGCGGGAGGCAGTGGGAGTTGGGGAGCTGGGGAGCTGTGGAGCTGGGGATGTGGCACACAGGGGGTTGCCTAACTGCGCAGGGGCTGTAGTTCTCCTTGGCGTTTACCCATTCAAATGAACATGTTTGGACAGCGATTTGTAAGTTGGGACGAGATTTTCAGTGAACGGAAAGAAATATCGTTGTGCAGGTACACATAGGGGGGATGTATGGGAAGGATGTATGCATTGTAATTATTGATGAACATGTGGATGTCGATGAAATATAAACAGACAGTAAGCAGATGCACAGTTGCAAGTAATAGATATTTAAATAAAAATTATATACTGATAAACAGTTGTATACCTTAAAACCTCTAAGTTAAATGTACCCCGATGAATATGGTAAATAAAAATAAAAATATATATATTCAGAAATATGTACGGCTATGTAGCTCTAACCCAGGGACTATGGTATCAACATTAATAAAGATTTGGCCCACACAAAGGTGTTCTGAAAGTTTTGGCTTCCTGATACCATAAACCATAAATTTCCATTACTGTGAAAGAAACTACTACTTGAAAAATTCATATCCCCCTTCTCATACATTTGTGCATCCAATTTATTTGCCTTGTAAAATTATTTTTAATATGCCAAATGGCGCAGAACAAGAGAAATATTCACTGCGAACAATTGTTTTGTTTTTATGGAAATTGTTTTGTGGGCAGAAATGGCAGCAAAGTTAATAGAAAAAGTGCAACAAATTGAGGAAATACACAAAATGGTTGCAAGCCAAAAGGAATAAGCTTAAAGTTGATGAAAAATTGTTCTCTTTATATTTTATTCGGCATCAAAAAGATCAAAAGATTTATTGTAATCTCTTTTCAGGCAGTGGAACGTAAAGAAAATTTAACACTGTAGATGAAAGAGACAAGAAACCAGCTGAAACTGAGTGGAGAACTTCAATGGACAATTCTTTAATAAAGGTTTCTTGAGCTAACTAATAGAGAGCAGCACTCCGGACAGTCCATGGCTAGTTTAAAGTGTTGAGAAAAACGAACAGAAACCTGGAGCCTGGAATCCATTTTAAGGGTGCCAAGTGCCCGTGCCCGTGCCCGTGCCAGTGCCTGGAGAGAACAGGACCAAACCGAATGTCTGTAAACTTGCACGTGACTTTGGCACAACTTGCAATATTTGCAGCCAAAGCCAAAGCCGTAGCCAAAACCAAAACTAAGCTGGCAACAACAATGAGAACGGGGCAAACTCTTGAAATCAAAACTAAAAATTCTGAAAGTCACATAGCTGAAAGTTTTCCATGCAGGTATCGTAGATCCAACGAGAGACTGCCAAAGTCTGTGACTGTTTGCTTAAATGATTTCGCAGTTTTTTTGTTTCTTCCGTTTTTTTTTTCTTTTCTCTGCTCTGCTGTGCTCAGACTTTACTCGTTTTTCTTTTTTTTTTTTGCTAGTTTTGTTCTTTTTCTTTTTATATTACTCGTATTTTCCTTGTTTGTGTGTGTGCCGCATAAAACTAATATTGTGCAGTGAGTTTATTGGAATTTCGGCGGAGAGAAACTTCTAACAGGTAGTATCTTGTAATTTTATGGAGTTGGCTGTTCTCTGGCTAGGACACACTGTGACTGCGACTGGGGCAGGGCCCTGGGACTGGAACAGGAGCAGGGACTTATGGAAATCGCTGCCAAAAATGTCGTAAAATCAAGGCAGACCACGCATACCAAAAACGGTGTTAAACTCCCCCCGATAAAACTTCGCCGACGGATTTTGTCTTGCGGTTAGTTTCTGGCAATTCTGCGGATGACACACCACAAAAACGCACACAAAAAGTCTCCAAATGGGGGGCTGAAATTGTTATCCACATTAAACAGGTCGCTGCATGGAGGATTCGCCCGCTACGTGATTCGTATTTGGCATTCACGACACGTGGCCCTTGGCCCTATCAATGGGTATTTTCGTTGGCTGCGCATCGATGGCTCTAATTAATGTTTAAACTGTGACTTTTATTATTCAGTGGCTTCGCCAGTACGTTCTGTCCGGCCGTAAAAGCTAAGCATCGCACGGTGAAATGATTTTGTCGAGCACCAAGGCTCCATGTTTTTGCAAATGCCCAACATTTTGCTGTGCTATAGAGGAACGGGCAGGGGCATGTTTTAATCAATTTTGAGGGCTAAAGAAAATTCTTCATACTATTTAACATTTGTTTAATCGCTTTAATTATGATTTAGCATACGAATTTAGCAATTGTCTAATCAATTAGACACTTGACAAGAATGTTTTTATGCCAAAACATAAAAATAAATTTATGCATTTAATAAAATTAATTAAAAACAAAATACAAATTATTACAATTAAAATTTCTACTAAAAAAATCAATCACGATTAAACAAATATTAAATATTAAAAATCATTGTACACATTCATATATATGATTTAAATAATTAAATATAATAAATAAATAAATCTTGTAGATAAAGTCAAAAAAAAAAAGAAATAAAAGGAATAAATTTCTAAGATGTTCATTTTGGGAGTCTACTTGACTGGCTCACGATTATAAATGAGCTACCAATATTTTTTTCTCTCATTAATTAATAAAAATTCATATCTAACCTTTTTTTAGTTAATTTCCGATGACCGCAAGTACGCATTGTGTCTACTTGAGGACTGAATCCGTTTCCCATCGATGAGTGGATGTTCGAAGCTCGTTAGTGGAGTGGCCCCGGCCCCAGCATGTGGTTGGTCCACTCTTAATCCACTCGCACTCAGTGCTCGGCGTGGGGCAGGGACCCGTCAAGTGGCGTCGCCGGCTCTGTCAAAAAGGAAACGATATCAAGTGCCTCAATCAAGTCAAACTTGCAATATAAATTCAAACATTTTCAATTCAATGCATTTTCTGTGGTTGTTGCCAGTCAAGCATTGGCAATTCTATGAATATTCCTCTTACATTTCTATCCCCGAGTCTCCCCCCCTCCCCACACTCTGCCGCTCCATCTAGGTCTGTGGCTGGGTCTGGTGCTGGTGCTGGCTCAGGGTATAGGGCTGCTGACGGGTATTTGATATCCCTTCGCTGCCTCCACCTGCAGCGCTGCCAAATTGCAGCGTTTCCATCAAAATGCTGCTCCATCTTGCAGTTGTTGGTATTTTTGTTTTTATAGCAACATTTACCTGAGCAGATGAATAGACGAACCTATTCCCGTTGCCAGACACGCCCCAATCCCATTCCGACCAGCCCGATGCGGTTTCTGCAATAAATTGGATTGCGTTCGGTTTTGGCTTTTGGTCGGTCCTTCACAGCGCCGCAGATTTTCGTATTTTCTATTATTAATATTATTTGGACTAATAACGTATTTAATTCCATTGTATTTGATCAATTTGCAAAAGCAAACTTCATTTTGGAAAGGCAAGAGGTTAGCGCTTAATTTAATTATTATTAAGTAAATAATATTAATAGATAATATTTTATAAAATCTTATTTCACAATGTTAAATCTCGAATCATTTTAATAAAGCGCCCGCCGTTCATTTAATTTCAATTAATATCAGCTAATTTCAATCATTTGTGCTAGACAAAAAAAAACACCCCAGAAATCATACGAGTAGCATTCCACTTTCCATCAGCTCCAACTGACTTACTCTACGCGCTAAACAGGGCCAAAACGTCTTAAATTTCCTGTGCTTGAGCGTCCTTGGGCGCCCGCAATCCCAGCCACTGCTCCCACTGCTGTGGCGCCGCACCACCCACTGCTTGGCTGCCACAACTTGAGTTAATTTAATAAATCTTGAACAACTGAATAAGCTTTAAATTAATGACCCTGTAAAGTTCATATAAATTATTACGTTATCTCAAACGTTTGCAGGGCTACACTGGCAACCACCTCCAGACCCCAGAACCCAAGAACCAAGGCACCCAGACCCAACCACCCACGCAAGCTGCCCAACTGGCAGCTGACACGTGGTGGCACAATATGCCAGCCATACGAGTTTGCCACACACACACACACAAAAGGCTGCCTGCCGCTGCCGCTGCCTCCACCAAATGATTTCTCATTTCCAATGCCGTCAGCATCAGGCTGGTGCCACGTACATATTTTTTATTCCTTCCGAAATCAAATTTGTATCAATTACAATTGCATTAACATATAATTTGTGATCGTCTCGGATTTCGGAGCAGCTGCTGGCGGAGGCCCAGAAATGAATATTTAAGTGCCACCCAGTGGGCCGAGCTTTAACCCTGATATTAGGCCCAGTATCGAACAGGGAATACAGCTTTAATCTTATTACTTAACCAGTTCAGCAGTAACCGGCAAAATACTCTCTAGAAATAGTCAATTAAATTGGCAAGTGCTTGGCAGTGTTTCGATTAAATCTTTACCCAATTATATTAGGAACCAACTTCCCCAACTACCAGTGCCAATGGCAAACCAATAACAAATTAACAAATCAAACCTTTTGGGGCTTTGACACAACTTCGCACCAGCTGCGTCAGAAAATCAACAAAACCAGGCTCCTTGCCCCACGACAAGTTCCGGTATATATACATACGTACACACATACATATGTGAAGAGCTGAAGTAGATTATTGGGCAAACAACGGCTAGCTCCATATACAAAGCCTGGACTTGCTCTGGCAGAAAGGCGAGTGACTGCTAAGGAGTGGATCCTTCGGCGACCCAATTTCCATGCACACGAGTATGCGGCAGATGGCGGTTTTTGGCTTAACTAGCCAAAACTTGGCTTCAAGTTTGCGGCCAAGTCAAACAAACGAAACTGTTAGAGAAGAAGATGGAGAAGGAGATGGAGGTGTGTGTGTACCATCCATTGGGTATTCAGACTTCAGGTTCAGGTTCCAGTGCCAGGCGCCCACTGCGGTTGCAGCCAAACAGGGACCAAAGTTGGCGGCCGCAAACAGGCGGCAGCCAGCAGCTAATATTATTGAATAAAATTGAATTTTGCCAGTGTTATTGTTGCTGCAAAAATTATTAAAACATGACTCCGGAATTCTCGGTTTTCCGTTTTAGGTATTTCTGTTCTCCTCTTCTCTTCGCTGCTTTTCTCTCGGCAATCCACTCGTTCTGTGGCTTGGCAAGGATTTCGCTACAACTGCAGCACGGATAATTCAATTAAATTCTGAAGTAGACTCTATTCCAAAAGCGGAAGATGCCAAATTGCAATACTTTTGCAATTATGCAGCACCATTCCGCCCAGCCACTGATTGCAAGTTGCGATATAAATTCTGCCAAGTGGAAGCTGGATACCACACTCACTTTTGGCTTGAAGCGAATGAATTTCCAAGCGTTATGCAGAATCCTCTAAATAGTATTTAGCTACACCTTCAAATGGGCTGTCAATTGTAACGAATGAATTAAATGCCAAACAGTTGTACGTTATAACAACTATGTATAAAAATGGCACTTATCGACTTAATTGTAAATCTTCGCAGTACATGGAACTATGAATTGGCTGTATAAATATCTCTTCTTAGCTTTGATATTCACAGGCGCTCAAGCGCTTAGATTTAACTCCAAATCTAAACGTATGTACATATGTGTACACAATTGAATAACACAATAACTAAATATTATAATGTGCAATATTAATTGATTGCAGGTTGCAGGGACAACACTGGAGAATGTATGTCTCGATGTCCAGCAAACATGAATAGTATACGTTTCCGAGCGGAATGTATGGAGGATGAAGGCACCCGGACCTTTCTCAATTGTTGTGTCAAAGAAATTTTCGGCAAGACCCGACGCAAACAGAAGCGCAATATCCATTAGATTTCGGACGTCGTTGCTTTCATTTTGAGCTGGCTATGTTCAGATAGCAAACCATTCGGCTTTAAATATTATGAACATTTTTGTAATCTAAATCCACAAATGTAACACAAAGATTATCTACAATAAATACGACTGACGTTCTCTGATATAAAAAAAGTTTTTACCTTTCGCAATGCTTCGACTGTAACGAATAAATTTGATTCCAAGTGTTATAGAAAAACTATAAAAGTGTCCCTGAATCGCCAGTCTTCAAGGTAAATGGAACCATGATTTTGCTGTGTAAATATCTCTTCCTAGCTTTGATAGTGAGCGCCTGTTTGCTCGCCTCCAACGCCTCCAATCGTATGTACAAGTGTATACCTTTAATATATATATATAATACCTATAATATATAATATGCAAATATCCATTTTAAGGTTGCAGGGACAACACAGGATATTGTAAGGAGAAATGTCGAAAAGGGATGAAGTTTATTCGCAACAGAGGGGAATGTATGAATCAACAAACCAGGGAGATTCTCCTTTGTTGTATCAAGGACTTTTAAACAGCTTAGACTGTAAGAACTAGGCCCGTGTTTGATCGTTTGAAGACGGCACAAGTCGGGCTTATTTCGACTGTTTATTTTGTCATAGCACGCCTACAAATATTAACAAATAAAAAACAATACATGTGGTGGCATTCCAGGCAGATCAAGTGAATTCAAAAATTCCTTTTAACTGTCCGTATGACAGTCCGTATGACTCATTAACTGGCATGAGAAGATACCGGCCGATTGCTGATTCTGTAACGATGTTGCTGTATTATGATATATTTTTATCTATGCTGCTGAGCGCATTATATGTTTATTTACCGCCTGGTAAGTAAATAATACCAAAATAAATAGTACGAAAGAAATACAATTTTTGTTCCCAGGTTGTGAACGCCACAAATCAAAAGATTTTCTACAGTTCAATGCGAAGAAAGATATTTTAAATAACAAAAGTATTTTGCTATATAAATATATCTCCTTAACTGGAATATTGAGAGCGTTGGCCCAAGTGCCGTCCAATGGCAGCTCAAAGTCCATCATCTCACAACCAGAAACAAGAATCGATCCCTAATCTACAATGCGGTGCAAATCTCAAAATTCTATAGAACTCCACGTTTTTCACACTCTAACTGGTAATGCCAACTGAAACGAATGAATTAAAATCCAAGTGTTAAATAAAAACTAAAAACTTGACACTGGATCGCCAACCTTCAGAGTATATGGTAATAGATGTTGCTGGATAAATATATATTTTTATCTTTAGTGCTGAGCGCATTGTTTCACTTCTCAAACGGAAGCAGCAGTAAGTAGATTATTAAGTAAGTGCATGTATGTATATTAATTATATGTATACAATTTAAATTACCAGATTGTTCAACAAATGGAGGAGGTTGTGAGCCAATCCCTCCAAAATGTGTACATGATCGACTGACATTTGAGAACTACGATTGCGTTGTTAATACCCACTTTGGAAAGTGATTTTTTTTCCGAACTGTCGACGTATACGTAATAAAATAAAAAAAAAATATATTAAAATATTATTCAACTTTAAAATTAAGGTTGTTGGGGATACATACATTGCATTTATTTTATATATTCTCATAGCCAGCAACAAGAGTCGATCTTTAATCTAGGATGCGGTTCAAAGCTCGAAATTCTATGGAATTCCACGATTGTCACACTCCAACTGGTAATGTCAACTGAAACGAATGAATTAAATTCCAAGTGTTAAATAAAAACTAAAAACTTGATACTGAATCGCCAATCTTCAGAGTAAATGGAAATATGATGTTGCTGGATAAATATATATTTTTATCTTTAGTGCTGAGCGCATTGTTTTACTTCTCAAACGGAAGCAGGAGTAAAAAATGATTAAGTAAAAGCATGTATGTATATTAATTATATGTATACAATTTAAATTACCAGATTGTGCAACAAATGGAGGAGGTTGTGTGCCAATATCGGCAGTGCCTAATCAATGTGCAGATACGAACAAACATCCACAACTGACATTTGAGTCCCACGATTGTTCGACCAACGAACTGTGCTGCATTCACATAGATTAATTCAAGTTGCAACCCAGCAGATGCCCAACGATTTTCTCTAGTAAATACGACTAAAGATATCTTAAACAACAAAATTTACCTTCTTTGAAAATATCTCTCCGTAACTCTCTTATGTTGAGCGCAGTGATTCCTTTCCCGAACTGTCGACGTATACGTAATAAAATAAAATAAAAATATTAAAATATTATTCAACTTTAAAATGAAGGTTGTTGGGGATACATACATTGCATTTATTTTATATATTCTCATAGCCGGAAACAAGAATAGATCTTTAATCTAGTTCAAAGCGGTTCAAAGCTCAAAATTCTATAGAACTTTACGATTTTCACAATCTAACTGGTAATGCCAACTGAAACGAATGAATAAAATTCCAAGTGTTAAATAAAAACTTGATACTGAATCGCCAATCTTTAGAGTAAATGGAAATATGATGTTGCTGGATAAATATACAGTTTATGCTTTTATGCTGAGCGCTTTGCTTCTTAAGTCTCCAAAAAATACTCCAGAGGGTTTCAGTTGTAACGAATGAATAAAACAACCATCCACGTGTATTGTTTTTAATTGTATGGTCAACGTTAGTGAAAAGGTTAAAGGTCCTAGGGGACAACAACGTTTTGACTTATCAAAGAGCCACAAACCATTTAATCCAATATGTTCTCATATCAAACAAACATCGTCTTTGTGCATACATTAGTACTTCGACTCACTGTGCACTCTACGAGTATTTACCAGTGCTTCATTGGCAACTGACTGTCTGCCTGCTGAATTGAATTTCTAAAGGCTTTCTGAATGGTTACCATTTCCATTGACATTTCCCTTTCGGCTGCAGTCCGCTCGGCATCACTGGAACGCCTCAAAGTAAATATCCAGCTGCAAATCCACAAATCAAATGCAATCAATTCAAATTTCACACTTCAATATTCATTAGAAATGTATTTTGCATTTCACAATTGCAATGCAGATGAAACCGCCAGCCAGAGGCAATCGCCTGACTGGCTCTCTGGCGCCTTGGCTCCCTGGTTCCCCAGTGGTTGCACAGCGTCTCAGCGACTCGGTACGGTATCGTTACTCAGTTGCACAAAACGAGCATAAAAAATTGGAATGGATTGGAATTTTCAGCAAAATTAGCTGCCAATTGTTTTCAATGCACAGCGTCGACATTCAGCTGATAAATTGAGGGCGAACAGAGAACGGAAATTGTGCCAAACCAAGCAAGAAATTTCAAATTGCCAACAGCTGTGCAGCTACAGTTTGTCTGGGTGTTTGCAGTGCGCTTCTGGTTGCCGTTGCCGTTGCTTTTGCTTTTGCTCAGCTACTGCCACTTAAAGTGCGATACTTTAATAGAGCTAACTAATTTATACATAATTTATAACAATTAAAGCGGCATAACCTTGCGTCGGGTCGGTTCATGCGGCGTATGCGCAATGAAAAACTACGGCCAGCCGCAAAATGTCAGACCAAAGGTGAATCCCATATACCCCATATACATATGCAATGTATACGACTACTTGCACATATCTGTATGTGTATGTGCATATATGTATATATGTTTTTGTGTGTTGTAGTGCCGTGCACATAACTTAATTATGCAGAAGTGTAAATGTTGCTAACAAACAGTCACACACCCCAGACATACTCGTACTCGTAGAGGGGCAAAGGACAGGGGACAGGGACAGGGACCGAGTGGTTCCAGGACTGCCAAGTTTGTCCGTGTGGCAGACGATGCGCCGCTTGAAGTCTTTCCATAAGCTCAAAGTTCATAATAGGATTTAGTTAGTATAGCTTGTTGGTGTAGTTTTTGTTGCCACTGCTGCTGCTGCTGCTGCTGCTGGTGCTGCTGCTGCTGGTCCCTGGTCCTGCTGTATATGATGATGATGATGATGCATGGCCCTGCTAGTCGTTTGCTACTGCTCTGCATTTTTATTATGTTTTTGTTTTTATTTTTTTGTTGTCATCTGATGAACTGTGGGAAGCCCCAGCAAAATTCTCCACATAATTTAATTCAAAGTTATTCTTGCATATATTTTTGCAACAATAATTGGGATTATTTTTTGAACCAAATTAGAGGCGAGTTTCGCTGGACAATGTGGACCCTCAAAAGTTAATTGATTAAATTATTAGTAATTTAATTTAAGGCAACTTTTAGTTAAAAATTCTTGGCCTAAAATATCAAATAATATTGAATAGCAGCGGAAATAAAAGCTAGCCTCTTGGACAAAGATTTCGATGCAGAAGATTTTCAATGGAATTTGTCCACTGTGCTGCCGTAATGTTAAATATGGTCACTCCGGTTTGCCTTCGCTGTGTACCCTGCTGTGTGGCATTTGCTAAGACTCGGCTGCCCCTCGCTGAAATATAAATTATGCACACAAGGCAAAAATTGCAGAGCGAGGAGGCATACACCCTCCAACTGCTGAACAAAATGGGGCATGACTGTGTATGGTGCATCTTATAATTCTTGCATGAAATTAATAGCGGCCTAAATGTTTGGCATGTGATAATGGAAACTTATGAGTGACAGGCACGGCAAGAGGCCTGAGACCACTGATATCGCTGGTCATACATATTTAAAGGGCACTCTCTGTTAACCACAGAAACCACAGACATCAATTTTGTCTTGGCTCGTCAGCCTATTAGTCCATGCCACATGCCGCATACCCTGGCTATCTTCACTGCTACCTCCACTTGCTGCATCTCCGCTGGCTGGCTCTTCAGCAGAATCAGAATCAGCATCATCGTCATCGCTTCTGCTGCTGCTGCTTCTGCTGCTGATGCTACTGACTGCGTAATGTATTGATAAACATTAAAAGCCAATCAGCGTAATGGGTTGTGAAGTGAAGTTGGCATCCATCCCGCTCTCTCTCTCTCTCTCTCGTTCAACATGCTTCATTTTCAACAGCTCATAAAATTGCAATTGACTTTGAGCTGCCTCTTCTCTTCTCTCGCTGGCACTTTCCTTTCCCCTCGGTAAATGTCGCAGTCACATATGTGCTTAATTAAGTGAATAAATTAATATTTGGTACCAGTTTATGACTGCATTGCAGCTGTGCCCCCCGATTATATACTTATCCGCACTTACTTACACATTAAATCCTGCTTGGCAGAGTGCCTGACTATATGGGGCGTATACTTAATATACTTGAAGGGCTTATGCTCTTTCCTCTGGCTAACTGATGGTGGAAAACCTTTTTCCATAGAAAATCGAGCAGTTTAATATCTGAAAATAAATTTAAGAAAAAGCCAATTAAAAACTTAGTTGTGTGTAAATAATTTAATATTAATAGCAGGTCTGTGTACCCCTCCAAGCCTCATTAAAAATGTTATTTAATCACTCCGAAACCAGCTCGCTCGACGTGCAGTGCAATTTATTTATAATTTTGCCAAAATTCATACGAATCTACCCATCAATATGCGAGCTTATCGAGTTTCATAGGTTGCAGCCCGCCTAAATAATCCATCTACTGGTTGGCCAGCAGCGCTTAGCATGCCGCGTAGCCTGAGAGGGAAATTAATTAATTTAGTCCGCCTGCTCGTCTTGCTGCACACATTTGTCTCAGGGCCTGGACAAGCCATAAACTGAAAAGTTACGAGTATTTTCAGCAGCTGCAACTACTTCATTATGTGACTGATGATGGTACAGCGGACTACTCAGGAAGTTATCAGACTTTTTCGCCCGCTCCTCGCTCTCGTGACGGGCTTTGTCTCTGGTTGAGGCCTGAGCATGGTTGGAGCCGAGCCGAGGCGAGGCATCCGCTTGTCTTTATGGCAGCCAAGTAGCTGCTGCAAAAGTTTGCAACGTAAATGGCAAAACTGCAGAAAGCCAGCAAGCGGGGTCTGGTTAAAACAAAAACAACAACAAAAAATTGGCATATAAAAAGTTTTTTAATGAATGGAATTAGTGTTTGAGCTGCAGCGACTTTGTTAAATCGTCCGAGCAGCATCTCAAAATCTCCACTCACTTTTTGGCATGCCATCAGCATCGGCATCGGCGGAAGCGGCTTCATTGCCCACTCTCCACTCCCCACTGGCCACTCCTACTCCACTACTTCCAATTCCTGTTACAGGACTAACGAAATTAGCGCTTATTAGTGCCAGTTGGTCAAACTTTTCAGTGATTTTCTTCTTTTTTTTTTGGGCTTTTCTAGTCGTCATAATTTCCCCAGAGCACGACAACTGAGACCCATTCTGTAATTGTTTCAAATTGACTTTTATACGACTTGATGTGCCGCCAAATGATTGCAGTGCAGCACGGAATCCAGACCCAGGGAAATACTTTACAGATTTTCGGAGCTAAAAAAATAGAGAAAGGATCTAAGGCAGCCCCAAAACTATGGTAGATAGCAGAACTTAAATGTGGAATTAAATAGCTCAAAAATGGGGCAAATACCACCCTTTGGTATTATTAAGTTATTAGTAGAATTTATCACATATAATATTGCAAAAACAGAGAACAGAATACAAATTTTAAATTCATCCTTTCCATTCTCATCGATTGATTTTTCTATATTCTTTCCACTACTAATTTATATGTACAAGTATCCGTATATTTGCCAGCCAATTTAAAGTCGGCTGTCAACTATAATTCAGTTTGTTCTGCAGCTCAAAATTGTCAAAATTTCAATGCGGCTTTACCTTATTGGAATACATGCACACACACATGGACACGACCTGCATTATAATCCAAGACGTAGCTCGGTGTAGCTCCCCAGAGGCAACGGCAACGGCAGGGCAACGGCAACCACAAGCAAATAAAGGCAAAAGACTAAAAAGAAATTCAACCGAAATGCCACAAAAGATATCAATGAACAATCGATGCTGCAGACTAACCACAGGAACCCAGTGCCGCCCGCCCAGCACACGGCACACCTCTCCACTACCGATTGCGGCAAAAAGGCAACTATCGATGGAGATAACTGATACATGCACGTCTTACAGTCTCACAGATACAGACACAGATACAGATACAGTTTCATTCTACAGAGGGGAGAGTGTGGTCGTCGCAGTGAATTTGTAAAATACGTGACAAACATTTTCAATTTGGTGGCTGGCTATCTTTCGATGCCACTCTTTAGCATCGTCATCTTATTCTCCCAGCCTCAGCCTCAGCCAGAGCCTCAGCCTCAACCCATACCCAAACCGCTTTCATCTGCTCTACTATTTACAATTCAATTGTTCTAATTTCGTTTCGTTTTGTTCGTTGCAGCAAAAAAATGAAGTTCAATTGAATTGACAGCCCTGTGAAAGTTAAATGCTCTGGCTACTATTTCGCAACTAGTTCGCAGTCCTTTTTTGTGCTTATTGTTTGTACATAGTACATTTTATTCTCCTTGTCCGAATTGATTTATTTATGTTCGCTGTGCTGTCTTTTCCTGTCCTGTCGGTTCGGTTCGGTGTTTTTCCGCACTTTGGTCACTCGAATCTGGGAGAAACTTTTATTGTCTGGCTGACCACATTTTGTGGTCGTGGTGGTTATAAATTTATTGTAATTTTTGTGCGCAACAAAAAACGTAAATAATAACGCGTCGATGTACGTTGCGGCTACTTGGTTCATAGTCTGTGGTGTAGTTAATGCCACTGAAAATTAACTGAGCTGAGATTTTTTTGCTGATATTTTGTGCTCTTTATAAATCAAACACTCGTTCCATAAATAAAAGAAAATCCAAATGTCATCGATTCTATGCGCTTCGGCAGATGTATTAAATTACCAAAATTAAAGTAAGAATATTTACTCCTCGAATAAATCGAGAGTTCCGAGTGTGTCCACTTTGCAGCTGTCAATGGCATATAGGCCATCCATGCCAGCCGCTGAGTATGGGGCGCCCGAAGTGCTATCAATTGAACAGATCTATGGGGCATGGCAACTTTTAAACAAAGGAG